CTTGCACAGCCCTCCCTTACTTAAATCCAATTCACTTGCATGTCATGGCATCACCTCCTTGATGTCATGGTCCTCAACGAGAGGCAATAGGCCAGGTGAGGGATAGAAGGGCTTCTTGTCTAGCCCACAAGCTATTGGGTATTGACTTTACCCTTGGTAGTTTTTAAATTGAGGGCTTTGGGGACAGGCAGCACAGTATCCTCAAAAACTCCCTAGAAAAAGTAAGTGGAAGGTCCTCCCTTCCTACCAGGCCTAACAGTCCTATCTGTCCCCTTAGGGGAATATTATGGTTATAAAAATGACTTAGCCAGAAAGGGTCTCACCCACACCCGTGTATTTTTTGTTGGAGACAAGGAGGAAGTGGGTTCCCAGACCTATGATTTCTTCTGTATGAGGAGCTCCCAGTAAGGAAAGTCCCCCTACAAATGCATATCAGTAATTATTCTGCAACTTGTACTCTTAGAGAGTTGCCTAAGTCACTAAGAGGTTAAATAACTTGCCCAGGATAGAACAGGATGCATCAGAGTAGGACTTGAATCCAGGTCATCCTGACTTCACAGATAGCCCTCTATCCACTCTTCCACACTGCCTCACTCATCTAGGTATTCCAGGGTTAATCTGTGGGGAACCCTCCTCATTTCCCCTTCTCCAATTCTAAGAGCCCTTTTCTCTCTAGCAGAGGAACTAACTAGGGAATTCCCAAGTGGTAAACAAGTCCCCAGAAGATCCCACCATCATGGGGAGGAGGGAAGAGTGTGCTTCTTTTTCTCATCATGATCAGATTATTTTCCTCCCAGCATTCTCTCTCTTTCTCCCTCCCTCTCCCTCTCTTTCTCTTTCTCCCTTTCTCCTTCTCCTCTCCTCTTCCTCTCTTTCTCTCCCCCCTCTTTCTCTCTCTCTCTCCTCCCTCCCTCCTTCCTCTCTTTTTCTCTCTAGCTCTCTCCCTCTTTCTCTCTCTCCCTTTCTTTCTCCCTCTTTCTGTCTCTCCCTCTCTCTTTCTGTCTTTACCTCCCTCTCTCTTTCTCTCCCTCTCTCTATCTCCTTCCTCCCCCTTCTGACCAGAGATAGGACCCCATTTCTACATAAACACCTTTCTTTCTAACTTAGTTAGATATCTGATTCATTTGTTCACTCAAGTACAACAAGTTTTTATTACACACTCACTACATACAAAGCATACTGTGAGCTGAGGGAGAAACCTAATAAATATCAAATATGATTCCCTCCTTAAAGAAAAAGCTCAACTTTATTTAGTGCTTTAAAGTTGACAAAGCACCTTCCCCATGCCAAACCTGTGAGATAGTAGATGTGATAGTGAGATTATAGATGTAGTTACCCAAGTAAAATATGAGCATTTGGGTAGCTTGTCTAGATAACGGAGGAAATAGGGGAGACAGTCATCCCTATCTGGCAGAAAGCATAACATGAAGATGAGACAGTCAGTGGTCTTAAGTATCTTAAGAGACCACTTCTGCAAGATTTGCGGGTTTGTACCTAACTGTAGATGTATTTTTCATCAACAAAAAACAAATCAAACAGGCTCTTTTGTTTCTAATACAGTACTGTACCAGTCATTTAATCTTCATTTTACCCATAAAGAAACTGAGGCCCTAAAAGATTGAGTGACTTGCCAAAGTTCATACAGCCAGGACGTGACAACTTCTAAGCCAATCACCTAAATCCAAATCCAGGGCTCCTTTACTAGGTCAGAGATGGATTAAAAAACAGCCTATTTAGCCCCGACTAGCTGATACCTGAAACTGCTCTTTCTACACAGGCCAGCACCTGGCAACTGGTAGAAAAGTCCCCAAACCTCAGTCCTTGACCCTTGTCTTACATGCTCCAACTGTCATAGGGAGAGTATACTTAGCAAAGGCACATACAGAGCTAAAAGGCTAGCAGGTAGATGGCCATGCTGGCCTTTTCCCCACAGTCACAGCCTAAGTTGATTTTTACAAAATTTTGTTTATTTCAGTGTGGATCAACAAGCATTTATCAAGTGCCTATTATGTGCCAAGCACTGGGCTAAGAACTGGGGATACAAATACAGAAATGAAATAATCTCTGCCTTCAAGGAAATTATATGCTATTGCAGGGAGAGGGAAGGGTAGAAAATATATGCATATGCAGATAAATACAAATAAATACAAAAATATATTTTTGCATGACTTCATATGTATAATGGATATTGTATTTCTTGTCTTCTGGATGGGAAGAATAGGGGGTAGAGGAAAGGAAAGAATTTGGAACTGAAAATAAATGTTAAAAAATTAAAAGCAAAAAAAAGTATATATGTACATTTGTATATATATATATATATACTTCTATGTATATTTGTGTGTATATATATGTATACGTGTGTGTTTGTGTGTGTGTGTGTGTATACACACACAGGGCAACTAGGTGGCACAGCGGATAGAGCTCTGGACTGAGAATCAGAAAGACTCATCTTCATGAGTTCAACTCTGGCTTCAGGTATTTACTATCTGTATGACTCTGGGTAAGTCACTTAACCCTGTTTGCCTCAGTTTCCTCATCTGTAAAATGAGCTGCAGAATGAAATGGCAAACTACTCCGGTATCTTTGCCGAGAAAACCCCAAATGAGGTCACGAAGAGGTGGACGTGACTGAAACAACTCAACAACAATTTATAGATATAGTTAGATACTCTCTCTCTCTCTTTCACTCTCTCTCTCTCTCTCTCTCTGTCTCTCTCTGTCTCTGTCTCTCTGTCTCTCTCTCTCTCGCCACTGTATATGCTTTAGAGTACAGCTGCCAAATCTTTTTTTTAGTATTTTTAAAAGGCTTTTTTCCCTATAGGGTGATCAAGGTTTACCGGGAGAAATAGCAGTAACTGGACAAAAAGGGATTCAAGGAGTCCATCAGAAGGTATAGAATCCTAGTGGTTACATTAGAGTCACTCTGTAAGACAAGCAGGCTCATTGAGCGGAAGAATAATGCCTTGGGTACGGGGATTTGTTTATTAACAATGACCTCAGATTTGCCAGATAAATCTTCATCAAGTAATATTGATGAAGAAAAGATGGATACTCTTGCCTTCATATAGAAAATTGAAACCAACTTTCTTTAATACGACAGGTGTGTGATTTTGAAACTTGGCCAGGGGGTGTCACTATTGTTCCAAGGAATTACCAGAACACACGAGAAATATTCAGAAGCCTGGGAGTAAATTGGGGGCCTGGGGTTTTTTAATAAATATAACTCTGAACACAAGGCATCATATCAGAAATTTAATTAAATAAGCTAAACTTATGATACTGCAGAGCTTCCCCAGAAAACTTAAGGGAGAAGTAATAGAGTTAGGTCATTTCACTCCAGCACCCACGGAATCAAGAGAGAGAGAAGGAAACCACAGGCCTTCTTGTCCAACCTGTACCGAAACAGGAATCCCCTGTAAAAGACCACACTATGGTTATCGGGAGGGCTGCTCAGCATTTATTTCTCACAGTTGTGCACCTGTGGAATTCCTTTTTTCTTCAGAACAAGGCAAAAGTGAACATTAATGACATTTATACAGATACAGACCCAAGGGAGCCATGTCAGGGATGGGAAGTTAACAGCTTTAGTTAGGTCAGGAGCATTTAGATACTTCAAAGACACATAAAATAATCATTTCAGAGTGCACAGATCTGGGAAACTGAGGAAGAGGAGAGAATTTTGGGATGAGATTATAGATGCGGTTGCCCAAGTAATATATGAGCATTTATGTGGCTTGCCTAGATAAGGGAGGAAGTAAGGGACACAGTCATCCCTATCTGGCAGAAAGCATAGCATGAAGATGAGACAGTCAGTGGTCTTAAGTATCTTAAGAGACCACTTCTGCAAGATTTGCGGGTTTGCACCTAACTGTAGATATATTTTTCATCAACATAAAACAAATCAAACAGGCTCTTTTGTTTCTAACACAGAATTGTGCATTAAATATCTTAACCCTTCCATGACCATGGCTTGAAATATAGATCACATGGATTTCTGCAGAAAAGCACCTCTAGGGTAGTTCTCAAGACATAAATCTAGAAATTGTTAGGGATATAACTATATGTGGCTATTTCTTAACTTGATTGTACTATTTGACCAAACTGAAATTTTTTTTTTTACTAAATGTAAAAAATAGCTGAAATTAGCCATTTTGGAATGGTTCATTTGATATAGGTTCAACCAGAAAGCTAAAGTCTGTTTTATTACAGCCTAGCTGCCTTATAACACATTTGAAATAGTCAATGGTACAGACATACTCAAGGAAAATGAAAGCTTTTATTGGTTAATCTTAAATAAATATTAAATTACAAGGTAAATTATCCTCCTCATAGTGTAGCTGCTGTTACAAACCTGCATACACATAGAGAATGGAGGCTTATATTATAGGGTGAGAGAAGAGAAACTGTTTCCCCTCCATGCATAAACAGAAGAATAAGACACAAACGTCTCGTTGTTTATACCTCAATTCATGCAGCCTAAAAATAGAGCAGAGTGGGTAACCCGAGCTGGAGCAGGCATGGAAGGGACTGGAGCTGGTCAGTCTGCATTCCCCTGAAAGTCTGGGAGTATGTTGGCTGATTTTCCCAGAGTGCCTTTCAGAGGTCATCTACTGAATCTAATTCTCTACCCACTCCCACCCCTACTATGTACAAATACTGTAGATCTACATATGGCTAACCGTTCATGCATTAACAATGGGGTGAGTCAGGTATGTCAGGGGGTTAGAGCTGGCAGTCCCATACACTCTTTCAACAGCTTCTTTATGCCACTAATATCGGGGTAAGAGAGATTTCCTGCCAGCAGCTGCCTATGCTGCCAAGAATTAGGAAGCAAAACATGGCCAAAGGGATGAGTACAGGAAAGTAAAGAGGGGAAATGTTTTATTGTGTTTTATTTTTTTCTCAGAAGCAAAGGGACTAATTAATGTGTTTTGATGGCAACAGGAAGAGAGATGCTGGCATTGCCAATATCAGATGTCTTTTTAACTATGTTTATTTTAGGGTGAACCTGGTTCTCCAAGCCCAAAAGGTCTGCCTGGATACCCAAGAGAAGTTGGAATCCCAGGGCAAAAGGTTGGTCCCTAACATCAACATGCATTTACTGCGTGCATTTACAACGTGCATTTACCTACTATGTGCCAGGCACATTCACATAAACTGGTAAAAAAAAAAAACTTAGTTCTTAACCTTTTAAAAATTAAAATTATTATCTCTGCATTTTACTCTTTATGTGTCCCCTATGGAAAGTAGGATTAGGAACAAATAATAATAAAAAATAATGAGCTTTTAAATTTTGCAAGATGTTTTTGAGACATTAAGATCCTTTTAGGAGGTCCCCATGAAAAAATATGGCTATTAACTAGGATCCCTTTCCAAGGAAATTGATGAAAAAGTCATGATTAAATGATAACATTCTTTTTCTGTGATACAGAGAGATCCCAGAGTACCTCCTATCCAAGATCCAAGTGTTATCCTAGGTGTCAACATCCCAAGGGAAAAGGTAAGAATCACTTACTAAAACTCGCCTTCCCTTACCAGTCTCCCAAACAAAAGCTAGTTATGACTTTTTTATATACCTATGACTTAAAGGAGGCCATTGTTTATCAAACTCAGTGTTTACACAAAAAATGCCATCATACATTAAAGGAAGAAGCTTATCACTGAGTGGCTTTTCATCCTCCCTTCCCCTCTTCTCAAGGAAATAACTCAGAATCTATCCAACAGAAAAGCTGTTATGTTGATCAATTGTGCAACAACCCCTCAAATTCCCACTCAGCCTACCCTCATTTCTGTGCTCTAAGGGCTTCATCCTCCAAAAAAGCTATGATGACTTTTCAAAAGAAAATAAGTCATTATTATAGACTGCCAAATTTATTTTATATCCATTCATTTTTTTCCTCCTTCCATTCTCAAGATTCATCAGCCTTTCAATCTATTCTACCTGTATCCTTTAAAAACATCAAGGGCACACATATATTAAACATTCACAGAAGGAGCAAGGAGTGCTTTTGAGCAGTATCTGATTATAACACAAAGCCAGACTTCAGTCCCTTTTTTCTACACTTAGGCCATTAATCAGCCTGTGTGTCTTGGATGTCAGCCGCACATTACTCATCAGTCAGGGAACTGATGAGGAGTGATGGGGGTTTAATGGCTGCAAGAACGTGAGGAAACCTGAGGTGGCTATTTTCCTACTTTATACTCATATTTATGAGTTCATTTGCATGCTTTTCAAAAGACTACTGCCAAATATATTAGCCTGTTTTTCTATTCATAAGTAAACAAAGAGTTAACATTCATTCATTTAATATTCTGTGTGTGTGTATGTGTGTGTGTAAACTGGCTCCATGTAGAAAAAGCAGATTTTTTAATGGCTTCTTGATATCCTTTGGAGTGGGGGGGGGGGGGCGTTTAATGGGGGGCATTGAAACCTTTTAATTCACATTTTTTTGCCAATTTTCAAATGAGATATATTCGTATACCAGTCTTAATACAAATACCCAAGCGTTGCCACTAAAATTAATATCTTATATTCAACATTCTGTACTTTGCTGAGTAATAATAATAGCATTTAAATAGTGCTTTAAGGTTTGCAAAATACTTTATATATATTATCACTTAATCCTCACAACAACCCTGTGAGGTAGATGCTATTATTATCTCCCTTTAACAGATGAAGAAACTGAGGCTAAGAGAGTTTAAGCGGCTTGCCCATAGTCATACAGCTATTATGTCTGAGACAGGATCTGAACTCAGGTCTTCCTGACTCTCAGTCAAGCATTCTATTCTCTGGACCCTGTAGCTGACTTATTGAATGATTATTTATGCTGCAGCTACATTGTCATTTCTGTAAAAACACGTGGATTAATGCTTAACAAAGATTTTTCGTTCCTTTAGGGCAACCAAGGTCAGAGAGGCATGCATGATTTACCAGAAACAACGGGAGCACCTTGGACTACAGGATCTAAAGTAATTTTCACTTTTTACATACAAATCAATAGATAGAATGGCTGGTGCTGTGACAGGTCAGTGTCATTTTCTTTGTACATGCTCATTGACTGTCAGCTAGACTGGCTGCAGGTAGATTGGTGAACCAGTAGCCAGAACACTCACTGTTTTATGTCGTTTAACCTAGATTGGTTTCAGAGTATTCCCCTCTCTGAGTCTATGGATTTAAATTGAGGAAGAATCAACAGATCCTTTGGCCTTTTGCTTCCCCAGGAAGTCCACTATGAGCTCTGATGTTGGATTCATTCAAGGATATTCAAAAAGATACTAAAAATATCTTTTGAATAGAAACCAGAACTAGTCTAGAATACCCCTTCTAAGAGAATCTTTTACCTACATGGATAAAAGAGATTATCTAGTCCAGCTCCCTCCACTTACAAATAAGGAATCTGAGAAACAAAAAGATCCAATGATTTGCTCATATAAATGGTAGGAAGAACAGCTAGGATTTGAACCCAGGACCTAGGATTCTAATTGCAGTGGCCTTTCCACTACACCATGATGCCGTCACATTGCTTTCCTTTCTCAATTCCAATTCAATTTAATTTTAAAACAAAAGAAAACAAAACAGTTAACTATGACATGGACCCACCTACCTACCGATACATTCTTAGACTCTGGTTCTAAATCTGTTTTCTCCCTGACCCTAGAAGCTTTCTTTTTCACATACAGAGACTACTTCAGGGGAGGGCAGCATTAGAACTGTACCAGTCAGTTCACATCTGCCAAGGTTTTGTTATCCACTCCCTGAACACTATAATCACTCCACCAGGATCAACACTGCATTCTCTTGTACACTTCTATTGACTGCTTAGACACAGCCTAGGGGCTCCTTCTTCCTCATGCTGAATTAATTCTCAATTACTCCCATGCTACTTAAATAGAGGTTCACCTAAGAGGAAATAATGCACCCTCTGGGGACCCACACTTTCAGGCTCAATATATATCATCCAGTTTCTAGGGGATACCTGAATATCCCTACAAACCCATGGTCTCTGAAATAAATTAGTCACTCTTTTGTTTCCAAACAGTCACTCAAACCAAACATTAACTGTCCTCTGCATCTTCAAATTCTATATATTCCATCACAAACAACTAGGGGTCAGCTTCCAAACAAGTCAACTCCACTGATTCCAATGTCAGGAGAACATTCTGACCCTGTCTTATAGCCCAGATTGGACAGGTAGAAGGGGCTTCCGAAGCCATCTAGTCCAATATGTACCTGAACACAAATCCCCTTTACAACACAACAACAAATGGTCATCCAAGGAAATGCAACCATAGACAATCAATCAATCAATAAATATTTATTAAGCACCTACTCTGTGTCAGACACAGTGCTAAGCACTGGGGATACAAAAAGAGGCAAAAAACAATCCCTACCCTCAAGTAGTTTACAATATAATAGGAGAGATAACATGTAAATAGATACAAGCAAGCTATATATATAGGATAAATAGGAAATAATTAAAAGATGAAAAATGCTGGAATTAAGAGAGGTTAGGGAAGGCTTCCTGTAGAAGGTGGGATTTACAAAGATCTTGTAATATTTATTAGAAGGAAAGGGAGATCTAGATGGGACCTTGTCATAATGGAACAACGTAGTTGGGAGAATCAGATATTCCTGGATGTCTTTCTCTGAGTGTCTATACTTGTATTTCTTTGTGTTGTATGTAGACCTAGAAAAGTCACATGCTAGGCCAACAAAGAACCTTAAAGAGATTGGCAATGATGAATCTTTGTCACAGGGTCAACCACAACTATATCTTTGACATTATTTTCTGAGACCTTTCCTCTACCATAATTTAATTCTTCCTAGACTAGCATAAAGTTCCTAGTTTTCAACATGGAGAACTGTATAAGTATGCAGTTTAAAAGTTGAGATGTTTAAGGATTCAAAAATAAAAAGAGGGGGTATTTTCCTGGCTGGTTGCCATCCATTTGATGGAAAATAAATGGAGCTTAACTATGAAGGGGAAGTACATTTCCCTATTTGGTAATCAGGACTAGGAAGATGGGGCAAGGTTTGATTTGGGTTTTGGAATGATTCGGGGACATTTAACAATGAAACCAATCTATATCCAACTACCTCCCCTACGCCCTAGCTATGAGTCAATGAGATGGAATCAACACTTCAGGCAAAAGAACCCTCAGGGAAACCCCATAGAAGAGAATTTAACAGCTGGTGGTAGATACTCTTCCTTCATGTGGCTCAGTGAACTTAATGCATTAAACTGGGTGTGACTTTATATAGTCTACATTTACCAGCACAGCCAAAATATTACCCAGAATATTCTGGGTTCAAAGCCAAAAAGGTCTTAGTTGGATTCATTTAATTGTGACCAACATTTCTTCCTTTCCTTTATCTTTCTGAAAGAGACTTAAAAAAATATTAGTAGGAGTTTTAATAGGCATCTAACGCTATTTGTCTTATTTATCCTGAAAACACTAAGCCTGATATTCTGATTTTTAGGGTATATGGAGCTACCATTTTCATCTGGTACAAGGTGTTGGGCCAAAAGTAAAAACAAATAATGAAGTACCTATGTGTTTTATTGCATGTACTGACTGAGAACACTTGTATATTATAAAGGAGGGGCACCTAGGTAGCTCAATGAATAGAGCACTAGCCCTGGAGTCAGGGGAACCTGAGTTCAAATCCAGCCTTTGAGACTTACAGACCCTGGGCAAGTCACTTAATCCCAATTGCCTCACAAAAGAAAATTATAAAGGAAAGACTGTAAGTTTATTCTCAGTACACATGAATTTGAAGGAAAATAAAGAATCTAAGAGATGGAGGTAAGGAGGTGGAGCATTCTAGGTGGAGTCATTAACAGACATAGGGTAGTCAGAAGAAAGAATTGATTTGGAGAGAAAACAATGAGTCCAGTCTAGGATATGTTGAGTTTTAGATGCTGACCGGACATCTAGTAGAAGATACTGAACTGAACAATAGATTCCCAAGGTCAAAAAGAACTTTCTGGGAATCATCTAGTGAGTCCCCTGTGGGGACATAAATAAATAACCTCCACAATATCCTGGATAAATGATCATTCAATCTCTGCCTGAACATAAAAGTCTTTTTCAGCTATTTTTTAATAAAAATTTACAATTATTAGACACTATTTAATATAACTCAATTTGTTTTCACTATTACTTAAACTAAACAAATAAGAGTGGCTTGGCTTCCATGACTCAGAACCACTTTGGTTTTCTGACTGCCCCTTCTCTGTCTCTATTACTGGCTTTTATTCTTCTTCATGCCCCCTAAATGTAGGCATGCCACAAGGTTTTCTCCTTAACCTCCTTCTTTCTTCACAACTCTTTTAATTTAATATTTTATTTTACCCCAATTACATGAAAAAAATCTTAACATTCATTTTAAAAAGTTTTTGAATTCCAAATTTTCTCCCTCCCTCCTTCCGCTCCCCACCCATGTTGAGAAGGCAAGCAATTTGATATAGGTTATAAATGTGTAGTCATGCAAAACATATTTCCATGTTCATAGTGTGAAAAAAAAACATGGATAAACAAGAAAAATAAAAAAAGTAAAGAAAAAGTATGCTTTAGTCTGCATCAGTTCTTTCTCTGAAAATGGATAGCATTTTTTCATCCTAAATCCTTCAGAATTGTCTTGAATCATTGTATTGCTCAAAATCTCTAAGTCATTCACAGTTGATTATCATACAATATTGATGTTACTATATACAATGTTCTCCTGGTTCTACTCATTTCACTTTGCATCAGTTCATGTGAGTCTTTCCAGGCTTTTCTGAGAGCATCCTGCTTGTCATTTCTTATAGTACAATAGTATTACATCATAATCATGTGTACCAACTTGTTCAGCCATTCCTCAATTGATGGCCATCTCTCAATTTCAAATTCTTTGCCACCACAAAAAAGAGTTGCTATAAATACTTTTGTACATATAGGTACTTTTCCCTTTTGTTTTTTATCTGTTTGGGATACAGACCTAGTAATGGTATTGTTTGGTCAAAGGGTATGCATAGTTTTATAGCTCTTTGGGCATAGTTCCAAATTGCTCTACAGAATGGTTGAATCAGAATGGTTGAACAGTGCATAAGTGCCTCAATTTTCCTACATCCCATCCAACATTTATCATTTTTGTTTCCTGTCATATTAGCCAATCTAACAATGCTTTCCCAGATTGTCTACACTCTTGGTTCCACCAACTCTGTATGCATGAATCCTAAATCTGTATTTCTGCTTTTAACCTGTTACCTAAATTCCTATCCTGTATCTCCACCCAAATGTCCTGTCCATTAGCACCTCAAACTCAACATGTCTAAAGCTAGACTTACCCATTCTTCATCAAATCAGCTCCTGTTCCTGTCTTCCCTATTCCTGTTAATGACACCATCTGAAATGCACTCTTTTCTCTCCTCCATATCCTAGAATCCTTACTTTCCTCCAAAGCTCAATTCAAACAATTCCCTTTCATGGAGGCCTTTCCTGATTCCCCTCCCTGCCAAGTAGTAATAACTTGCACTCCTTCAAAAAACTTGCGATGTATTATTCCCTATATATTTCATATATGCTTACATGTGTACATATACATTTTATATGTGTTTGCTCACCTTAAGACTGTTAGTTTTTTGAGGGTAGGAACTGTCTTAATGTAGTGTTTATATCAAGTGCCTGGCACATAGCATGATCTTAATAATTACCTGTTAGTTGATCCTCATGACTGACATTTATGTATCAGGCTAAAGTTAATAAAGTACTTTGTAGACACTATTTCATCTGATACTCACAACAACCCAGTGAAATAGGTACTGAAGTTATTATTATCTTCATTTTACAGATGAGGAAACCTCATCTTAAAAAGGTTAAGTGACTTTCCCATGGTCACACATCTAGTAAATGTCAGAAATGGTGTTTGAAACCAGTTCGTCCTAATGCTGAGTCTTGTACTCTGTCTACAAGCCCATGCAACGTCTCCAAAATTTTCCCAGCCCCAGAAGCTTAAAACCTTGGGGTTAGCGGTACTAAGAAGTGAGAACTGTCCTTTCCCAGAAAGTAATTGGATATTTGGCTGATGACTTGTGAGGTAACCTGCAATTTTTGGAAGTTCATTGTGACACAGCTGGGAATAAGGCCAGAGAATAGAGGAAAAGTGAAAGCCAGAGGATGAGTAGTAAAAGCAGTGGTGATCATAATTTCAATTAGCATTTTAATAGTGTTAAGTCATAATGATGATCAATGCTACTGTGATCAATACAATGATCCAAGACAATTCCAAAGGACCCATGATTAAAAAAAAAAATGCTATCTACCTCCAGAGAGAATTGATGAATTCTGAGTGCAAATTGCAGTACAATTTCCTCATTTTCTTTATTTTTCTTCCTTTTTTTGAAACATGGAAACATGTTTTACATGCTTTCACATGTGTAATTGATATCATATTGCTTGCATTCTGAGTGGGTAGGGGAGGGGATAGGAGGGAAAGAATTTGGAACTCAAAATTTAAAAATAAAAGAATTAAAAATAAATAATATTTTTTTAAAAAATTAGAGTGTTAAGGTTTGCCAAGTGCTTTAGAAATATTATCTCATTTTATCTTCACAACAGCCTTGGACAGTAAATTCTCCTAAGTAGCGTGTAAACATTTAATAGTGACCTTCTGGAGATAATATCCTACCTTTGCTTGTATATTGGTTATTTAATAGTTAGAATTTCAGCTCAGGTAGGAAAGAAGAACAATGCTCTTAGAAGGAAGTCGCTTTGAGGAATTTGTGGCTGAGGCCTTGTGATTCTCTTGAATCACCCTGTGCATGTGATCACCTATGTCATCTGCCTAAAGATGAGCCATGACTAAAGCATCTGGAGGTAAAACGTGACCAGTAGGTGCTTAAGAGAAGTGTGAATAATAAGCAAATGCTACCACTTGCATTATCCTAAGGATGATCTTGGCGTTGATTGAGAAAGGGGACAAAAGAGTGAAAAAAGTGATGTTAGGGAACCCTTGTGATCGTGGAGAGCTTTTAAGTATCATCTGTTCCTTCCTATATGATTTCTAGGTGTGCTTCCTAACTTCTCCAGAATAAGTAATTTGTGTCCTATAACTGTAATGAACACTTTTATGATGATATCCAAATCATTGATTTTCTTGATTCGCTAAATGAATTGGCCTCATCAGGGTCCTAAAAACCAGGCAGAGGCTTTGTGTTTCTCATTTACTAGCATTTATATTGTACTTTAGAGTTTGCAATGCACTTTACATACCTCATTACATCTGAGTTTCCCAACAACCCTGTGTTTCCAAATGTTTCTCATTTGGATTTGAGCCTTTCTTTGCCAGAACTAGGTCTAAACCTCCATTTAAATCCACACTCTGTTTTAGGCAGATACCCTAGCACATTAATGAAGTGCTCATTAACACACCAGGCCCTGTGTGAATAGAGCACAGAAGGCTGTGCAAGAGACAGCTGGTGTGTAAGCAATTTTGAAGCTTTGGTTTGGGGCTTTTTTGTTTTTTTAATAAGCCTCAAGACCAGAACCGGTTCAGAAGGATACAGGTCATAAGAATCCTGTAAAAAAAAAAAATGTCACTGACAGACTTGCAATGTAGACAAAATGTTCTTGAAAATTTTATTTATAATAACTAATGAATTAATTTTCACACAGGGCAAAATTGGACCCAAGGATGATCAAGGCCTCACAGTAAGTGTCCTAGCTTGGAAAATGTGAAATTAGGATACATAAGCAGCATAGTTTCATGGTTTTGTTGTATTATCCTATCCTATCCTTTCCTTCCCATCTTTCCCATCTCGTGTTCTCCATCATGTGTCAAATTCCATGTTCTCTATCTCCTCTTATACTCATCTTAAAATAAGCATAGTAAGGCGGCAGCTAGGTGGCTCAGTGAATAGAGCACTGGGCCTGGCGTAAGGACAACCTGAGTTCAAATTTGACTTCTGATGCTTACTAGATGTCTGACCCTGGGCAACTCTTAACCTCTGTTTGCCTTAATCTGCTGGAGAAGGAAATGGCAAACCACTCCCATGTCTTTGCCAAGAAAACCCCAAGTGGGGTCACAAAGAGTTGGGCACAACTGAAAAACAACAGCTATAACTGCTATATTATAAGTTTACTGGTATGATTTCTTGCCTTCTCAATTGATTGGGAGGTAGTCAGTGAGGAAGAGAATCTGGAACTGAAAATATAAGTTTACTGCTATGAACTCAGCAGTTACATGAAATTATTTAGCTAGAAAAAATAGAGATACATTGAAAGTCTTTCTTTAAGAAGTAGGAATTGAAATTATTATTGAAATTACATTTGACATTTCATTCATAACTTATACTCCTAAGTTTGTAAATCAAAATAAATGTTTTACAATGTCTTATAATTTTGCCTCTGAGAATTAAGAATTGTCAAAGGTTGTCAAATATTGCAATTTATTATTAATCAAAGGTCCTATTTGTACAGAGAGAAGATATAATTAAACTAATTAAAGAAATATGTGGTAAGTTTGTTTTGTTTTGTTTTATAAAACTGACATTTTATATATGTGGTTTCTTTTATTTTACTCTTCTGAAAGTGTGAGTGAATGGGCAAAAAATATATATATACATATACATATACATATATATGTATACATGCATACATACATATGCATATATACACAAACACATACATATATACATATATATATGTATATGTGCACTCCACTACCCACTCACTCAGATGGCTGAAGCCATTGAATTCATTATTAGCTTGACTATAGTCTCACTGGTCCTTTGCATACTATATTCTCATTCCCTCCACTAACCAGCCTTTCACTTTGCCAAGAGGGCAAGATTTAGTAAATGAGGATTTAGTGGTCAAGGCAGAAATAGGGAGAAAACTCATGGAAATAAAGCCCCACTCTGTTCTACCCTCTTCCCAAAGTATAATAGTAGGGTCTAACTAAATTGTTCACAACCTAGGATCCATCAACTTGGGGTGTTTTTTTAATATCTTGATAATTTATTTTATGAAATAAATGTAATTTATTTATTTTATTTTTCTACATATTTTACTGTATGCCTTTGAAAACATTATTCTGGGAAGGGATCCATAGGATGCACCAGACTGCCATAGGGGTCTATGACATAAACAAGGTTAAGGACTCCTTGTCTATTTAGTGACTTCATCAGTTGGCTAGTTTCAAAACATCTGAATACTTAAATGTGTACTGAGCTCAAGAATACCCAACCAATTGCATAAGGATAAGAATAATAACTAAACTTGTGAATTTAATGATATAGGGAATTCCCAGATAAAAAGACTGTGTGTAATTTATCTGCATATATCTGATTTGTACATAGATGTTTTCAGGTTGTCTTCCCAATTAGACTGTGAGGTCCTTTGAGTACAGACTATCTTTTCTTTTGTTTTGTTTCCCCAGTGCTTAGCATTTGGCATATAGTAGGTTAATACATTAATAATAATAAACCTTTAATGATAATAAAATAATTCATAATAATAAAAGCAATAATAAATGCTTTTTGAAGAACTGACTCTTCTATAAGGGAGAGATAAGTCTTCTATAAGAGAGGGGAAAGTTTTACCACACTTCTTAGAACACCTGTTTACTCAGCATTCTGCCAGAGCTCCCAAATACAAATTCCCTTTACAACCTACCCAACTGGTAGCCAGCTTCTACTTGAAAATCTCCAATGGGCAGGAACCCATTATTTCCCTAAACTAACCCTGTAGTTAGATTGCCTTAGTGAGAAGCTTTGTCTATATTCCTTGACATCTCAAATCCAACTACCGCAGTCCCCACACAACCTTTCCATTCTTGGCTAACTCTGTCAAAAAGTACAACAGCACCTAAATGAAGTGTTACATTGTAATCTAATTCCATTTTCTTTTCAGAAAAGCACATCTTCCAAGATATTTATTTGTTTTCCAGTTGTTTTCATATGTTTCTTCCCAACTAGCCTGTAAGCTTGTTAAAGGCAGCAAGGATTATGTTTTAGGGTTGTTTGGTGTGAGAAGGGAGATCTTCATAGGACTTCACTTTTTCTGGGCACAAAGGAGGCTTTCAGAAATGCTGATTGATTGTGAGGTCATTTTTAAGGCAGAGAGAGGCCTTTTCTGAAAAGGTTGATATAAACACTGTGTTAGTACTTTAAACATTGGGAGTTTCACTGTATTTCAAGTTATTGTCTCAACGTAAGCATTAGGTAAGTGACTATACCATCAGCTAAACCAAAACTAATTCTGAGTTTTCCTGTGTTTTTCTTCTATAGGCTGTACCATTAACTGTAAGGACATATCAATGGAGCTTGTTTTTGTGATCAATAGCCCTGAAAGCATGGGACCTGAAAACCTAGAGGTCATCAAAGATTTTGTCACATCTCTAGTTGACAGAGTCACTGTGGGGAGAAATGCTACCAGGATTGGCCTTGTGCTATATGGTTCAGATGTTCAGCTCACATTTGGTCTGGACAGATTCATTGCCAAACAGGATGTGATACATTCAATTAGGAAGATGTCATATATGGGAAAAGGCACTTTTACTGGCACAGCCATCCACAAAGCAACCCGGGAAGCATTTTGGGGAGCCCGGACAGGGGTCAGGAAAGTAGCTGTCGTGATCACAAATGGCCAAACAGAGAAGAGTGAAGCTATCAGATTAGAAGCTGCTGTCAGGGAAGCTCATGCAGCCAACGTTGAGATATATGCAATTGGAATCATCAATACTTCAGATCCAAGACAATATGAATTTGTCCGGGAATTAAACTTAATTGCATCAGATCCAGATAGGGAACATATGTACCTCTCTGACAGCTTCAATGCCCTCCCAGGTGAGTGTATATCAGACTGAGTACAGTAATGTATTGGCAATTACTGAAGAGGAGTCAATATCCTAGGAGTTATCCTTTGGGGATCTCTTTTAGGAGGTGATCAGTGGATTCTTTCAATTTCTATTTTACCCTCTGGTTCTAGAATATCAGGGCAGTTTTCCTTAAAAATTTCTTGAAAGATGATGTCTAGGCTCTCTTTTTAATCATGACTTTCAGGTAGTCCAACAATTTTTAAATTATCTCTCCTGGATCTATTTTCCAGGTCAGGTGTTTTTTCTAATGAGATGTTTCACATTGTTTTCTATTTTTTCATTCTTTTGATTTTGATTTATAATTTCTTGATTTCTCATAAAGCTTCCATTTGCTCTATTCTAATTTTTAAGGAATTATTTTCTTCAGTGAGTTTATGGACTTCCTTTCCCATTTGGCCAATTCTGCTTTTTAAGGCATTCTTCTCCTCATTGGCTTTTTGGACCTCTTTTGCTATTTGGGTTAGGCTATTTTTTAAGATGTTATTTTCTTCAGTAGTTTTTTGAGTCTCCTTTAGCAAGCTGTTGACTTGTTTTTCATGATTTTCTTGCATCATTCTCATTTCTCTTCCCAGTTTTTCTTCTACATCTCTTACTTGCTTCTCAAAATTCTTTTTGAACTCTTCCATGGCCTGAGACTAATTCATACTTTTTGGAGGCTTTGGATGTAGAAGCTTTGACTTTGTTGTCTTCTTCTGATTGCATGGTTTAATCTTTGTCACCAAAGTAAGATAAGATAGTCTAAAGTTTTTTCCGCTGTTTGCTCATGTTCTGAGCCAATTACTTGACTTTTAACTCTTTGTTAAGGTAGGGGTCCGCTTCTGGTGTGGAGGGTGTACTGTCCCAACCTTCAGGGGTTTTGTACAGCTGTTTTCAGAGATACTTCTAGGGACCTGTAAATTTTCAGTTCTTCCAAGGAGTGTTTATTCCTTTCCTGGCCTGTGCTCTGGTCTATGGGTGACCACACTCACTCTTTTCTGCCTTGGAACTGTGAGGAGGATTTCCTCTCCACCCCCACTACAAGCTCCACCATGCCAGCACTCCTCCTCACCCCAGGACCACTAACCAGGACTGTGACCCAGATCCAAGCACAGGCAAAGCAAGAGAATCCTGCCTCAGCACCAGCAGAGATCCCTGCAAACCCCCTCTGATCAGTCACTCTATCCCCCCACCATCTGTAGGTCAAGAACTCCAGAAGCAGCCACCACCCCAGTCCTGCACCAGGACTGGGGCCAGATTGCACTCCTCTCTCACCCAGGTCTGACAGACCTTTCCTCCTGACCTTCTCAGTTGTCTTTGGCATTTGTGGATTGAGAAGTCTGGAAACTGCTACAACTGCCTGTGATTCAGTCTCCTGAGGCCTGCTCCGGGTTCGCTGAGGCCCAGTCTGTGCTTGAGTGGCCCACACTGAACTGCACTCCTCTCTCAGCCTGGCACAACAGACCTTTCCAATCAACCATCCAGGTTGTCTTGGGCTGGAAATTTGTTTCACTCTGTCTTTTTGTGGGTTCTGATGCTCCAGAATTTGTTTAGAACCACTTTTACACATATTTCAAGGGATTTGGGGAAGAGCTCAAGCAAGTCACTGCTTTTACTCCACCATCTTGGCTCCACCCCTAAGAGGAGTTGAAACAACATGGGATACCTAAATAAGTTTCCAGCTACATTCATTCTTTCATTGATCAGTCATTATTTCAGCACCAGTTACTATGCACAAAGCATGGTGCTAGGCACTGGAGAGATACAATCTTCACATAGGATGTAATCCTCATTGTCCAATAAATTGCTGAAATAAGTACAAAATCCAGTACTTTGCTTTGATTTTGGAGCACAAATGTACATGCTGTGTCTATGAAATACCAGGCAAAAAGGTCAAGGCACATAGCCCCAGGACCCAGATAAGAAGTCATTTGTCCTTATGAGCTCTTGCCACATCTGAGAATTAAGCAATGCTCTTGACAGTGACCCAGTATTTATCATAAACTGCTTAAGAGCTGGAAGTAGGCCTACCCTTTTCTCTAAAATCCCCTTAATACCTAATATAACATACTGTATATGAGGACTTGCTTTAACATCCTTCAACCTCTCCCTCCGAAGAGTTTCTTCTCCCCATTTCCTCCTATCTTTATCTCTTCTGTGTCTCCTCCTCCCAAATTCCTGCCTGCTCTAAGATAATTGTCAATTAATACTCCCAAGTTCTTAGCTGATAGGATAACTGCTTATGATATCATGCCTCCCAGAATTATTTGCTTTGTTCTGGAGAAATTCTATACAACCAAAAATCTTTATTACCCAAAAGAATTAGGGTGTGGTGCATTGGTGGAATTTCAGTCACTGTTCCAGGTCAGTGGGGGAGGAGAGAGAGATACTTTACACTACCTATGTGTGTGTACGTACTTAACAGTCAGCTCCAACTAGCTCTTGCTAAATTTTCAGTGTGAGTATTTACACCTTAGCAATCAGTAAATGCTATAAATCAGGACTTGATTTATTGTTCTATTGATTGTCTAGACTTAAGAAAGGGATGGAGAAACTGACAATAATGCAGTAAATGTAAAAGTATGTCATGGGTACTTTTTTTGGTGAGCCAATTGTTAAACAAGATGTTTAACATCATTGCCTATGAGTGAGGACTGTCCTACTACAGTGAGTGCTCAATAAATGTTATCGATAATTATACCAAATTATGGCAACCTTGCTAATGGAAGTGGTAGGTTCCACATAATTAAAAAAAAAATTTTTAAACTACCATTGTCTATCTTAGGCAAGGATTCTTAGCCTGAGATATGGGAAACTTTTTAAAATATATGTTTTGATATTTGAATACAATTGATTTCCTTTTATTTTATTTTGTAAGTGTGAAAACATTATTCTGAGAAAGGGTCCCTAGGTTTCACCAAAGTGAAACCAAGGGAATATATGACAAAAAAAATTAAGAACTGCTGGTCTTAGGGACGTTCCTTGTGCGGTACTTATATAAACCAGGGCTAGGGGGCTAGAAAGAGAATAGAACTCTGGGATCATGGCTTGAAAGTCATCACTAGGCAGTAGAGGACAAAGAAGTAGATAGCAGGGAGAACCAAGATGGAGATGAAAAAAAAAATAAAAACATAATTTTTGGGAAAGAGAAATACATCCTTCCTTTATTTTTTTCACTTGTAACTACAACCTCTCTCCCCTCCCTAACTCCACCTGGATAGGAATTCTTTTCATAGGGGTTAACAACCCCTGTAAACCCCTGGTTCATAGTTGATAACTATATTTCAGTGTAATTGGAAGCCTCTGTATTTTATTCTGTGCATTTGAAAGCCATATTCCAAGGAGTCCATGGCATGAGTTAAAAGTTTAAGAATTCTTGCTTTAGAACATCATTTCATCTTGTTATTTGTTTTTTTTTTCTTTTCTTTTCTTTTAAAAATAGATTTGGAGTTCAAGTTGGCGAACCAGTTTTGTGCTAATGAACATAATGCATTAATTTCTGGACAAACCAGAAATGATAGGATAATTGGAAAGCCTTTCCAATCTATATCATTCAATTCTGCAAATAACTTACTCCACAACAGCAGCAGACTGAATGGACAAACGACTTCATCAGATAAGCAGAAAGTAGATATACGAGAAAACTATTTTGGCTCTGACAAGCATTCTCAACCAACCACAGTGGTATAGTATGAGTTTCTTAAAACTTTTTAATGAAATATGAGTGAGTAGGCATATTTACTCTCTGATTAATTAAATGTGCCATAGAACTCTTTAGTTAATAACGTTGAGTTCCAGTCATTATGATTGTTCGAGTATTAAAAAACAACACTTTTATGTTTTGCCTGCAAACTAAAAAGTTATACAACTATAGTATTGTTCTTCAAAGTGGTTACCTTAGAAGGCTATATACTTGTTCTAATAATTTTTTCATTGCTTATTTTTTAATTGGATTTTGGGGCCCTGCAAGAAAATCAGAATTATTATTATGTATTGCTACATTCAGTTTGGAAGTAAAATTAATATTGAACAACTTGGTCAACCACTTTATTAATCATATTCAGTTCTAAGTTACTTTTGGCAATTTAAAAAAAAAAATCAAAACTACCTCCTAAGAACCAAGCCTAGTGTATTGGAAAGAGTGCTGAATTTGGAGTGAATGGACATGAGTTTGAAACCCATGTGAATTTAAGCAAATCACTTCATCTTTCTGAGGCTCAGTTTCCACATCTATAAAATGAATAGGTTAGACAACATGATTTCTAAGTTCCCTTGTAGCTCTAAATCTGTAATCCTATGATCCTAAGATTTATTACCATGGGGAATATTCAAAAGAGAATGCCCCAGATGCTGAAGGAAAGTTGCAAAAATATGTAAAAATGGCACCCCTCAAGTAAATTGGAGCCTGGCCCCAAGAAAACTGGAGTCTGAGCTTTTAAGAGAATGACACTCAGATGGATCTCTAAGTATGTTTAAATCTATGAGTATGTTTGTCTAAAAAGTAGTCATATTACCTTCTCATCACACCCTAGTTGTCTTTAAAACTAGCTAAGAATTTAAAAGGGCAATTAGGTGGCGCAGTTGATAGAATGCTATGCCTGTAGTCAGGAAGACCTGAATTCGAATGTGACCTAAGATACTAGCTGTGTGACGCTGAGCAAGTCATTTAACCCTGTTTGCTTCAGTTTCCTCATCTGTGAATTGAGCTAGAGAAGGAAATGGGAAACCACTCTAGTATCTTTACCAAAAAAAAAAAAAAAAAGGGTATCACAAAGTCTGCCTGAACAACAACAATATAAAGAAATCTAGGGTCTTTTAAGGATCCTTCCAACTATATAATTTTTTTCAAGTTTTGCTTGTTTTAAATATATTTGAAGTACACTTCTCCCCCTTCCCCTGCCCCCTGCCCATGATTTCATAGGATCTTAGATTTAGAACAGGAAGGGACCTTAGAGGTCATCTTGTCCAATACTCTTATTACATAGTTGAAGTATCTAAATCTCAAGACTGTGCAGTTACTTGCCCAAGGTCACATAGGTACTAAGAAGCAGAAATTTAGGTCTCCCAGGTTCCCTGACTCCAAATCCAGTACTCTTTCTACTGTTACTCTTCATAATAATCCACACAACTACACTTGAGACTTAAATTCTAATTTCACAATGCTGATATTTAGCTTCCTATATCAGGAACTAGAGACAAACTCTAATTAGATCACACGCACAGATTTGTGTATCCTGTTATTCACTCTGACTCAGCCAATTATGGATGAGTACTTAGGGCTTCTAGAATTTAGCTATGCCAAATATGGATGCCAGATATCTGTATGGAAAGTGAAAAAATAAACTCGTGTTTTGTTTATGAGACACAAAATATCTGGATATTTCTGAACATCAGAATGATTGCCAGAATGTTTAAGCTTCATTTGGATAGTTATTTACATGTACATATAGTTTTTCTGAAGCTCAGTGTCTTGAATATAGTGAAGATTTTATACATATGTGTTAATTAATTAAAGGAACATGATCATACTATAAATGGTTCCACAGTGAAAGGCTCAAAAGATAGCAGAAAGTAGGAAAGAGTGGAGGAGATTCCCAGAGCTCCAACCAAGAATTAATCTAACCTTAATCCTTTTTGGACTTAAGTAAATACATGGAAAAAAAAAAGTACATTTATTTTCTTACAGAACAAAGAATCACTGGTGTTACTGTATGAAGACTATGAAGAAAAACATAAGAAAGTAAAACAGCTACCTATATCATCAGTGAATCTTCAAGGTATTAGACAGTTGATCATGAATTCATTCAATTCAATAAACATTTATTAAGCACCTACAGGTGCAAGGGACTGTGATGGGTGTTGGGGACACAAAAGCAAAATTAAACATTCCCTACAGCTCTTGGTACTTACATGCTATTGAGTGAGGCATTGAGGGAAGCTAAGTATTCTAAAAGGTGAAAATGAGGTGGCAGAATACACAGTCATGGGGAGGGAAGAGGAAAGGGAATTAATCTTTTGGGTAAAGTCCTTGAGGCAGGAAATATATCATATATGGGGAACAGTTTGCAGGTCAGTTTGATTGGAATAATGAGTACATGAAGGTGACAGCAGGAAATATAACTGAAAAAGGTAGTAGGAGAAATTGTGGAGGACTTTAAATACTAGGCAAAAGAGTCTATATTTTGTTATACGGGCGATAGGGAGCCTCTGAAGCTTTTTAAGTATCAAAGGGATGTAGTCAGATCTGTGTTTTAGGAATATAAATTTGGCAGCTATATGAAGGATGGGTTGGAAAGAAGAGAGACTGGTAGCAAAGAGTCTAACTAGGAGGATATTAACAATTGTCCTGATCAGGCATGATAAGGTACTCTACTAGGGTAGTGGTAGTATGAGTGGAGAGATAGGGGAGGATATGAGAGAGGTTGTAGAGATACTCAACAAGACAAGGAAAATTATTGGATAGGTGAGGAAGAAGGACGAATCAAGGAACCAGTTTCCAAACCTGGATCACTAGAAGGAAGATGAGACTCTCAAAAGAAATAAGAAAGTTTGAGAAGGGATGAGTTAGGAAAAGGGAGAGAAAATGAGCTCTGTTTTGGACATGCTGAATTTGAGATGTCTTCCATGATATTTAATATTTATATTAAATTAATATTTAATGTAATCTCATTACATACATGGTTACCAATGACCTTTTAACTATGAAATTCACCAGCTTTTTCTCAATCCTAATTCTTTAGCTCTCTAAAATTTTTGATACTGTATACCATTCTTTCCTCCTGCATACTCTCTTTTTCCTTGAATTCCGTGACACTATTCTCTCTCTCTTTTTTCTCCTGTATTCCTCTGACCATCCTTTATAATCTTTGCTAGCTCTTCATTTTCTTCCTGCCTCCCCTGTGGCCCTTTCCTGAGCTATCCTCTTTTTTCTCTACACTTTCTCCTTATGTACTCATTACTTCTCACGGATCCAATCAGCATTTTTATGTTGATGACTATTACATCTATATATTTAGTCTTTTTCACAGACTCTAGTTCTATATTACCAATTATCTACTTGACATTTCCAGAATCCAAGGGAAAAGACAGCAAATGTATAATTGTAGTCACCAGGTCAATCATGCTAGGTATTCCATAGGTGCTGAGTTTTTCCAGCCTGCAATCATTTTTGATCTCCATTACTTCCCTGCATTCCCAGCAGGTGAAAGATTGGTATTCCTCACTTACTCAGACGTATCTAACCTTCTTTTGGTACCAGTACCAAAGAGCTCTATTCACTCTGCTCTCCTCTGTGTCAAGCTAATTGTCACGATGGTTTGAAGTAGGGCCAGCCTACAATCCTATGCTATTCTATCTATCTCTTAGATTCGTAAGACTGATCATACTCACTGTGGTGCTAAGCCAATCCAAGGTATTGCCAGAACCTAATTTACCAGCATGTCAGGGTTCCTGCCAGGCCTTCACAGCTGCTATGATGACCTTAGGGCATACAAAGACCCTCCTGGATATTACCCTGGCTGCCATTCTCATACTTGACTTTTGTTCCATTTCCCCCATTACATAGATGATGGGCTGGGTTTTTGAGGAGACTATTATTATTTTATTGTATGAGATACATATAATACATGTACTTTATGGACAATTTTACATTTGTCTTCCTCAAAGGGAGTATTAATGTATTAATGAATAAAGGGGATTTTTTATGACATTGCAAGAGATTTCCTTTTTCTAAGTTGGTGTTACCAAGTTTCACAATATAGACATGTATTTTATCTTTCATTAATAATACTAAGCAATACATATAAAGTTTCAGTTTGAATTCATATCTGTTATTAGGTAACTTAAAGTATGCTTATTATGAGCCATTGACATTAAAATTTCTCAGGCTATGATTCTAGTTGGAGGTCTGATTTTGGGCCCATGCAAAAAAGACCTTAGGCATTTGATCTGGTGCTGGCAGGGTGTGGTCCATTTTCCCCAGGCAGAAACTTTGAGTTTAATGAAGAGGATTTTTTGAAAAACTGTCTACCTTCTAATAACCAGATCAAGGTCAGACAAGCTGTCTGCATGGTGATAAATTTCTTAGCCGAAGACACTCTTCACCTGTTCTTGGCATCAGTGGACATAGTAGCTATACAAACAAATGCCCAGAGTCAGGAAATGGATTGTCTTCTGTGAGGAACAAGGAAGCTAGTATTTCTATCTCAGAGTAAATTGAGGGGATTAAGATGTGAGGAATCTGGAAAGGTAGGCAGAAGTCAAGTTGTAAAAGGCTTAAAAGCCAGAGAGTTTTATATTCCATCCTATAGGCGAGGAAGAGACACTGTTTAGGGAGTGGGGATTCTTGAGACAAGGAGATCAACTGACAGGCTATTGCAATAATAAAAGTGTGAGATAATGAATGTGCTAGGGCGATGGTAACTGTATTTGAAATGTTGTGAAGGTAGAATGGTCAGGACTTAGCTACACATTGGATATGAGGCATTAGAGAGTGAGGAATTGAGGAAAACATCTTGTCAGGAATACCCACCTCTAACAGAAAGATGATGGAGCATATTGAAACAAATATGTAGAGATATATAGATATATATGTATGTGGATATGAATGTATGCATATATGTGTGTATATACATGTACATATATGTGTATTATGTTTATATATACATCCATATATATCTCCAATGAGGAAATTTGTTTTCCTTGACTATGCATGTTTATTACAAGGGTTTTGTTTTTCTTTCTTTTTCAACTGGGAGAAGGGGAAAAAAGTGAGAGGGAGAGGTGAATTTTTGTTAGTTGAAAATTTTTAATTTAAAAATAAAACTAAAAATAAAACAAAGTGAAGATATTGCACTAAAAAAAATCAATGTAATGATCAACCATGATTCCAGAGGGCTGATAATGAAGGATGATACCCACCTCTTGAAGATACAAAATGAGACATGCATTTTTGGACATGGCCAATGAAGATATCTGTTTTGCTTGACTGTGAATATTTGTTACAAGAGCTGTGTTTTTGTTTTCTTTTCAATTTGGAGGGTGGGGAAGAGGAAAGAAAAAAATAAATGCCTGTTAATTGGGGGGACAGGATTTTTTGGATTTGGGGTTTTTCTTTTTTTTAGAGCTTATTGGCAGCCTTGGGAAAAGATCCTTAAATTATTTAATGCAAATCAAGACAGTCTTCATATACCACCTTCCACCCACTAGAATAGAAAAATATATATATAATTCAATGTTAATACTTCAAGGAAATAGTCGTTCTTAATGCATTTTTGGTGGGACTGCAAACTTGTGCCAACATTTTAAAAATAATATGGCAACGTGTAAGCATAAATTGAACGTAACTTTTGACAAATAGTTCCATTTTAAGATTTTATCCCAAAAAATGAAAAAGAATTTGCTTGTACAAAAAAGGGACTTGTTTGCCTTGTTTATAATAGCAAACAACAACTGGGAAAAAATTAAACATCCAACAATTGGAGAATGGTACATTAATATCATGAAAATTTTTAATTTTGTTCAGAGCTATGATTTTATTGGTGCAGAGAACCCATTGAGATCCACCAACGTGGATCAACACCTGCTGAAAACAAAATCAAACGCGGGAAAAATTCAAGAAGTGAACATAAAGCAAATGCATTTTTATTTGCTTCTACTATAAATACTAATTTTTATTTGCTTCTACTGTAAAATACTAAGGATTTCTGTAGGATTTTATTCCTTATATATTGTTTCATTCTGTTGATAAGCATTATAATAGAAATATAAGCAATATAGTAGAAATGTCTTTAATGCTATGCAATTATTAAATGTGCATTCCCCATTCCTTTTTTTTGTTTTTTTTTTTTTAGAAAATACATGGAATCCACAATGTCAATCAAACTTAGATCAAGGATCATGCCGTGTATATGTTATAAAATGGTACTATGATAAGAAAGCGAATGCTTGCGCTCAGTTTTGGTACGGTGGCTGTAATGGAAACGCTAATCGCTTTAACAGTGAAGATGAATGTGTAAAGACCTGTGTATTTTTCCATGGAGGTACAGTGTGATAATATAAATAGTCATATGTTTATGTAACCTATAATAATGACTGTCTACTCAATTGCAAAATGAGAAAATAATACAAAATAAATGAATTCCCATCGAAATCACAACTGTATGTTTCTTCAGAAATGATAGCAAATTAAGGTTACTTCTTTCCATTTGCCACATTCTAGAAACTCTATTGAAAACCCTTTTTCTCTCTCCCATCATTACACAGGGAAAGAAAAGGTTTATGTAGCCATATGTTGGTATGGCCAGCAAGTATTTGCATGCAATGAAAAGAATTTTTTCACTTATATTTAATATGCTGCCAACCTTGAACAACGACACCAAACTATCAGAGCAAATGTCTAATGCTCTGGGCTAATCTGCCCTTTATTCAGTATGATAAAAATTAGGGGAGAGTAACTGGGTTGGGTTGGGTTGGGTTGGAGGAGGGGTAGTAGGAATAATGATATGAAGAGAATAGGAAGAACCCCTAGGTTGTGTGTGTGTGTGTGTGTGTGTGTGTGCATGTGTATTTATATCAGAACCTAAAAGTTTATTTTTATTTTTCAGATACCTAAAGTATTAAAGTAGATTCTCCGGTTCTGTAATAGAAAAAAATTATGTTTTAATTCAAAGGACAAAATATTGTAGGCATTCAACTTTTTGTTTAATTGCTTGTTGAATGATTTTAAATAATATTTTTTATTTATTTCATATTGCTTCATAATTATTTTTTACATTTTAGTCCAATTAATGATAAATATCACTGAGGGACTTATGACATTTGTTGAGTGAATATTTTGTCTTCTTTTATAAAAGTAAAAGAACAAGACAAATGCCTTTTATGGTTAAAATATATATAATTTTTTTTCTTTAAAAGCTTTGCTTTGTACCTACTGACTAGATACAAAGTTTCTAATAGCTATAATAAAGTTACTTTTAAATGAATTCCAGTTTTACTTCTATCTAATGGAGAATTTTTATGCAACTGATTCATGTTTTACCAGTTCCAGATATGTTCACATAAGGAAATTAAGATAAAAAATATTTTATTCAATTCTCACTGCATTAAACCATAGAATGTTAGTATTTTATTAAAATTTTATACACCTGCAATTTATATTGAACTAATAAAGGTAAGTTTGAACTTACTGAATATCTGCTGATGCCTGAGCATACCTGCTTAATAGCAATTTTAATTAAAAAGAGAAATTAGGTCATAATTCACATTTCCATAAGGTACTAAAGTCTTTAGAGTGCTTTCCTCACTTAATCCTTAGGTGGCATCGCTAACTCCTGGCTTGATCTTATTCACTGAAAGACTGGGTCCTCTGGCAGTTATACATGCTGCCTCCTCTAGAGAGGAGCACTGTAGAAGTGGCAGTCTTTCTGTGGTCCTCAGAAAATGTACCACATTTTGTCACCCAGATCCACCTTTCTCTGTGTGGTCATGTTCATCTCAGTAACCTAGTGTCAATCAAATAGCTATGAGCTCCAAACCACTGGAAAACCCTGCTCTTTCCCAACCTCCTACTTTTACTGAGCCCTAGTCACAAGATCTTAGCGTAATGCAGTCACCTATTCAAACAGACAGACTGCATGCACTTTTTTTTCCTTTTTGCATAGAACCAATAAAAGGAATAAGACAATACATAATAGAGCATCTACTGCATGATTGTGTACTCACAACTCCTCCTAGTCCTAGAGGCAGCTAGGTAGTGTCCTAGATAGAATGATAGACCTGGAGTCAGGAAGACCTGAGTTCAAAGGGGGTTTCAGTCTCTTCCCAGCTGGGTGACTCTGAGCAGAAATTAACCTTTGTCTGCCTCAGTCGTCTCATCTTTAAAATGGGATAATAATAGCACCTACCTACCAGGGTTGTTCAGGATAAAATAAGATATTTGCAAATCACTTGGCAAACCTTTAAGCACCACATAAATGCTAGTTATTTTAGACCCAGGTGGCACTTGATCAGCATATGAGGCACACTCTGATCCTTGGAGTTTAAGGACATTATTCAAGTTGTCTAGATTCCATCACCCACACCAGAACAGCAGATGTCTTCAATGAGAGGATCTGTAAAAACCTTTCTAATTTAGGAATTAGCAAACCTTTCCGAATGAGACTGGGTGCCACAGTGGAGTCAGAAAGCCTGGATCCAAAACCTTACTCTGCTATTTATTAATTACATCACCTTAGGAAAGTCACAACCTCTTCTGAGGACTTCTGAGATCTCATCTAGCTCTAAATCTATAAACTTACGATTCCATGTTGTGCACAGCATACTGGGCTCGACAACTGGTATTTCTGCAGCTTCATCCAGGCCAGTCTGAAGATAGTGCTTTTCTATTTGCTGTTCTATCACTAGAAGTGACTTCCAAATGCTTACTGTTGTAGTGTCTTTGCTTTTTGGTGAGCAGGGGAAATGGACTCAAAGGCAGGCTAAAGCAGACCCTGATACCATTCTGCCCTCTTGTCTCTGACCTTGAGTGCAACATTCTTTGACTTTAAATTCAAGTTTCCGATAGACAAGAAAGGTTTCCTTTCCTTCTTGGTCTCTTCCAATAAACACCATAGATGAGAAGGGCCAAAAGAAAGGGAAAGAGAAACTAACCTCACAACCTTGTAAGATATTTAATGCAAGCATTATTATCCCCATTTATAGATAAGGAAAAATGAGGCTTAGAGAGGTCAAGCCTTTGGTCTCCCAGCTAGTAAATGTAAGACCTAGGCTTTGTACCCAGGTCTGTTGACTCCAAGTCCAGTGTTTTTTCCACACTAAAACACACTGCCACCCTCCCAAAAAAAATGTCGTTCTTTTTGACTCTTCTCTATTATTACTGCAATTATTGTGGTGCATGTCTGTGATATATTCCATCAGGACTTCCAATGATGCAGACTAGCAATTCGTCTCTAATTTATAATCTTAAGGATTTGACTAACTTTGGCTTTTCTCTCTCTCTTTTTTTTAATTGGGTCAGTCAGAGAGGCGAGAAGGAAAGAAAATAAATGTTTGTCTACTGAAAATAAAATAATTTTTAAGGAGCTGTCTGAGGGCACTGAGACATTAAATGATTTGCCCATGGTCACATAGCTTGTATATGTCAGAAGAAGAACTAGAACCCAAGTTTCCTTCACTTCAAGGCTCGCCCTACTATCTACTATGTAGTGTCTGAGCAATTCTCAAATTTTTGGGTCTCAAGACTACTTTAAACTCTTAAAAAATATTGAAGCCTCCAAAGATTTTTTTATTTATATGTTATATTTATCAATATTTTGTTGTTATTGTTGTTCAGCTGTGTCCAACTCTTCATGACTTCATTTGGGATTTTCTTGGCAAGGATACTGGAAAGGTTTGCCATTTCCCTCTCCAGCTCGTTTTACAGATGAGGAAACTGAGGCAAACGGGATTAAGTGATTTGCCCAGGGTCATATAGGTAGTAAGTGTCTGAGGCCAGATTTGAACTCAGGGTGATGAGCCTTCCTGACTCCAGACCTGGTGCTCTTTCCATTGTGCTACCTACATGCCCCTACTACTATTTACCATATTAAAAAATAAAACTGATATCTTTGAAAAAATTTATTAATTCATTTAAAATAATTCCATTACATGTTAACATAAATATTTTTATGAAAATGACTATATTTTTCCCCAAAAAATAGTGAAAATGGCATTGTTTTACATATTTTTGCAAATCTCTTTAATGTCTAACTTAATAGAAGATAGCTGGATTCTCATATTAGCTTTTGAATTCAATCTGTTACAATATGTTGTTTTGGTTGAAGAAAATCTAGCCTCACGGAGATAAGTAGTTAGCAAAGCAAGGCATATTTTAATAGGCAAATAACATCTTAGTATTATTATGAAATACTTTTGACATCACAGAACCCCTGAAAGGGTCTCAGGGACCCCTAGGAATCTGAGGACCACAGTTTGAGAACCACTGCCAAATATCATGCTCCTTCTCTCTTCTGCATTAATGAAGAATATAATCATCTTATTTATATCTTTTGGTTTTCTAATGAGAGTCAGTGACTAAAACCTGACTGCTTTGCCTCATCTAGAAAAGAAATTTCATCTCAGTGGAAATAATAACAGTGGAAATAATAACCTGTATTTATGTAGAACTTTAAGTTCTAAAAAACATTTTATTAACAACAACCCTTAAAAGTAAGTGCAATTTGTATTAATCCCAATTTACAGATGAAAGTATTAAGGCTCAGAGAGATTCAAGGACTTCTCCATAGTCACATAGCTATCAAAAATCAGAGCTGGGATAAAAACCCAAAAACACGATCCTTTAAACCCTATCCTTCTTCCCAGGAGCATTTCCTTAGGCAAGCATATTTCAAAATGGGAGACATAAGGGGAGGATAAACTCAATGATATCTCAGGGATATCTGACTATTCATATCCTTTTTTCCTTCCTAGTTCTCACTATATTGCCTAGCTATGAAAGTAATAATTTAGTATTACCTGCATTTCCTAAGAAAATATTTTGCCCCAGCCTCCCATACAACATGTTTAAACATGTCAGTTTAATAGAAAGAATCTAGATCTAATTCCTTTAAGGAACATTCTCTCCTTTATCCTCTCCCTATTTCTTTGATATATGGAATTTCCATTTTTGCCCCCAATGGGCACTTCAACAGACCTGAGATTTCCAAGATGTGACAAGGCAGAGAATAGGCCTCCAGGGTATTGGTTAGATCCTTTAGATAGAAGATTTCAAGAAGGATGTAGGCAAGAATCTCAAAGGATAAGAAGTAGGAGCTGACTTTTTGTGGTAGTCAAGAATTGGAAATTGAGGAAATGCCCATCAACTGGGAAATGGTTTAACAAGTTGTGGTATATGGATGTTCTGGAATACTACTGTGCTATAAGAAATGATGAGCAGGCAGATTTCAGAAAAACCTGGAAAGACTTGCATGAACTAATGCTGAGTGAAGTGAGCAAAACCAGGAAAACATTGTACGCAGTAACAGCAATATTGTTCAATGACTGACTTTGATAGAC